GGGGGGGGGGGGGGGGGGGGGGGGGCGACCAAAGATCCATCGCCCCCTCTCCCTGGACCCACCTACGGAGGAAGGGGGGGAGGGTCTGTTCCCACCGAGTTTGAATATATCTAGAAATCGAGGCCGGTCTCTTGCACGAAGAGGAATAGTATGATTTCACTCGAAAAGACACTAGGAAGTAGCCCGAATGGTGGCAGACGTAAACAGTAAACAACCGCTGGTGAGGCTTTCGACGGCTCCCTTTTGCTTAGAAAGGAGCTTCTGATTACTGTATCCCCACGACATACACCGATAATAGTTTACAATTGAATCCAGTGAATGGAAAATTTGGTATTCTCAGTACCCTTGACCATCAAAGCTCAGAAGTGAACTTCAAGCCAGTGCTTATGTGGATATAAGTGCTCTCTACTATTGGAATAGTTGTTTTTTTTTGTCCAATGATTGATCGGTTTTAGCTTGGTTGCGACCCAACAAGATTACTGGTAAAAGATGTAGATCTGGCTAATTTTGCAACAATCCGGAAGTTTGCCGATGATGTTAGAGCAGGTTTGCGCGCTTTTTAAATCCATCCTTTTTGTTCAAAATTCGACGTTTGTCAGCTCTGTTGTTTCCCTGGTTTGCTCCTCGAATTTTCTTCCGAATCACCCTACTGTTCAGTGATATTTATGATTTCAGCTTTTTTCTTTTCAGAAGTTGATCAAGTAGACATACTTGTCAATAATGCAGGAATAATGTTTTACCCGAAGTTTGAGCTTACCAAAGATGGGCATGAAATGACATGGCAGACTAATTACCTTGGTATGTTTCACTCTTCTCTTTTATTTGAAAACTCATTTATCGACAGTCCCTAGCCTGCCCAAAAAGCGTGAGGAGGGGAGTTTGTAGTGGGCGGGTGGAGGGGGAGGGGGGTGAAATGCTGTTCTGGAGACTGTCAGAGCAACGTTGGTGCATGACTCGACTGAGGCTTTTTGCGAGGGAAGTTCAAACTTCAGCAGCGCATAGCCTGTAGCTCGCGAAACAGTCTTCACAGATCTTGGATTTTCGTCCTAAACCCAAGCTGGCTTGCCTATGTGCTTAATCTTAA